TATATATATATATACACTCTTCATTTTTAATTTAAAATTAGTACACTTAAAGGATACTTGCATAAACTACTTTTTGCTAAGTTTGTTTGTACTTTTTGTGTACTCCTGAACCAAACCAAACTTTGCAATGACAGTCTTTTTTTCTGTGCAGAGGTGTTGCTTGCTATGCMAACAAATTAAAGAGTGGAGGCTCTTTGGCCAGTTTCATGCCTTGTTTCATACATGCAGGTGCCTCCACACCAGGGGTGACTAAGTGGGCTAGTTGGGCTAAACCATCCCTGGTATTTACACAAAAAATGTTAAATGATCTGATCAACACATATTAAAAGGATTGAATTACATTTAGTGAAATTTCCAACAAAACGGGTGCCAAACAGTCTAGAGAAAATTCCAGAGTCTTTCTGAAGAGCTAACCTTTAGCTGCTAGTCATTTAATGACTTTCATAGTACAGAATGATTGACAGATGTCTTGTCCTGCCCCCTCGGTTTGCTGCTCATTGGGGCTGTTTTTGTTCAGTCCAGGGTCATCCCAAGGCCACAGGCTTTAGCTCAGGGCTATTCAACTGGCAGCCCGCTGGCCACGTCTGGTCCATGAGTGACCAAAGTTTGGCCCACCAATTGGTTCATCCGTCTCTTCAGTCCAAATCCCCAGTTTTCTACTTTAATTACTATAAGTTATTTTAGTTAGTTAGACATAGACATGTTTGGTATAAATGTCAGTATTTTGGATAGAAGCTGGTAAAAACCATTTCTATGAACATCCAAGACAGTTAAAACTACAAGCAGTTGAAGACAAAACTATGAAAGGGAAAATCCAATTGGTTTAAAAGATATCAAAATAATATTTGTGTTAAATAGGAGGCATAATGTGTTATTTTTGTTTTTGAGATTGTTTTATTATCACTACTTTTGTTTATTACATAGGGTTCTGTATGTTGTGTTCATGATTAAATGCAGCAAAATAAACTAATTCAAATGTAACACATCTTTATAATAATTTATTTATTTACATAATGACTTTAATTGCTGGATGTTCGACCCATGAACTGTTGGCCTGCATTAACTGTGACCCCAAGAGCAATTTAGTTGAACAGCCCTACTTTAGTCAATGATGGGGGTTGTGCAATAACGTGCCTTAAGCACTAGTGTATGTGGGTTAGGGTTACACTAAGTAGGTACGATGGTGAGCAAACCAAGAGGATTATTTAAATTTTCACTCGTTTTCCTTAATGTCTTTGGAGGAAAACTTGGAAGTGAAGAGTTTGGAGGCGGATTGACCAAAGGATATTCCAGCCCAACAAAAGGAAATTTATTCTATGACCTGGCTTCAATGAAAGGACTGACTAATGGCAAGTGTTTGCTGTCTGGATGAGACACAGGAGGTTTATTATACGTATATCTGTTACACATATTACAACCAGCCGCCTCTTCTCCTAACCAGTTTGCAGAGTTTGTTGACTGACGCATTCCCCATTACCAACATACATTTTCCATGACCATTTTCCCACGTCTCAAGTAAGCCAGCCTTTATTTAAAAAGTTTGATTTCTCCAGCTTTCTGGCAGTTATCATCAGGACTCTGCAGCCCAGCTGCAAGATATCAATCCCTGTGATCCGTGCATGTCCAAAACACTTTACAGTAGGGTGAGTATAGCGTTCAGCATTATCATCAGTGGACAGCAGCACCGCCTGAGGTCATGATTTGTGTAAAAAAAACACTTTGTTAAAGAACACAAGTCTGTGTTTCCTTAAAAGAATACGAGCAGCTGGCATGAACAGGTTATTRGTCAGGGACTCAACGTTGGGCTAATGAAGTATTTGAAAGCTTCCAGGCTTGTCGTTAGTCTGCATTTTCTCCATGTGTGCATCATGTGCGAGGGTTTATGGTGGGAGTTAACGGGACAGCGGAGACTGTTTCTTGCTGTCCACCAGCCTCTGGCCCAGCTTTGATCTTTGAGCGGAAGAAAGGGAGGAGGCAGGAGAAAAGGGGAGGAGAGGAAATAAAATTTGTGAAGCGTACAGAGATGTCCTCTACCCCACACCCCTTATCTCTCAACACATGAGAGTGCAGCTTTTCCAGATTAACTACTGCTCATTTGGTTTTGTCACACAATGCTATGGGCAATCATGTGTGCGATTATTCATGTTTCTGTTAGCAAAACACACGAATCAATGAACAGATTAAAACAAAACTCTCTGAACATAACATGGAGTTAATCTAATTCAAGATGGCTGCCACAGCAAATCGCAAACATGACTTTAGCTTAGCCTTTTTAGCAGAAAATGAGCTAAAATCTGGTGTGGTATTACCTAAGAGTCATCCACAACACCACTAACTTACCGTTAGCAAAATATCTCAACAAAAAAAATCATTTGATGTGCGTCAACAAGTGTTTTATTTTTGTAAACCCAATTCAAGATAGCCGCCACAGCTAACTGTTCCTATTGAGCACAAAAATGCCTTTAACTCAGTCAATTTAACATCTATGCAGCTAAAATTTGGCACGTTAGTAGATTATAGTGATTCCCAACACATCCTGAAAGCATTAACAGATCCAATAAAATCTTAGTTTAGAACATTAGCTTACATGGCAGCAGAGAATGCTACTTTCATGAGCTGAAATGAATCAATGTCACATGACTTTTGTTTGGTAATAATTGATCAAATTTCACAAAGATCCAAGTAAAAAATTTATATCCTACTAAATTCATGAGAAACATCTGCCCCATCATGACAGAAACCCCTGGAGAAATGATTTTTGTCTACAAACCACAACTATGCAGCACAAGTTTCAGCCAAAATCATCCGAATCAGCATGCATCTACCGAAACCTCTCCGCTGCATTTTCAATCATCCCCCGTTTTTTTCTCTCTCCTCCTCTTTAGTCATCCTCCACACAAAAGGCATAAACAAACAGCCTCTTTCAAACTCACTCCGAATGTGAGGATGATTAGAAGGAGCTGCAAAGATGGAGGCCACATGTCTCCGGTTATCAGAATTATACAGGATTTCTTTTTCAGTTTACAAATAATTTTAGACACACTGAGGCGAAGCCGCAGCAGATTGTTTACATGTGTTGATGAAGAAAACTACAAGCTTTTTTTTGTGGTGGAGGATTTCCCTCCTGGGCAGGAAGACATAAGGCATCATTAGCCTGGTGAGAGTAATGAATGAGCACTTTGTTGGCAAATTCCTCAGATGTAGAGGTGGAATGTGTAATTAAAGTGAATGCATTATAAAATAAAATTAAATAATTTAGTCCTTGGTAGGTTTAATGTTCCATGTGTTTCATTAGAAGGCACTAAACTTTCTATTTATCTCATGTTTAAAATTTCAACCTGTTTTCAAGTGATACATTAGATCAGTGGTTCCCAAACTTTTTATCTTCTGACCCAAAAAATATTCATGGCAAAGACTTGTGACCCCAAATATTACCGGTCTGAGTACACAAACTTTGTTAATAGCCCTAAAAACAAAGGACTACACAAATATAAATACTTATTTATACTTATTTTGTGTTTTTGTAATAATTATAGGAAAAATTACATCACCAATTATTTTTATTACCCTTTAAATTGATTTCTGAAGTGCAGTGGTTCCCAAACTTTTCAGCTTTTGACCCACAAAATAACAGAGACCTGTGCCCACAACTATTTTTGGATGATAAACATTCGTAGCAGGTCAACTAAACATGGGTATAGTAACAATATTTATTATTCTACATTTATACATTTTAGGCAACTAAGGCAAAAATGTAATTAATTCAGAAAATCTTTTCAGGACCCCACCTTGATGTTTCAGGACCCCACTTTGGGCCCYGACCCCAACTTTGGGAACCACTGCATTAGAACATGTGTCTAACTCAAGGACCCGCCCCACTCCCCTACCCCAAATTATATTCTTTTTTTAGCTTAAATTATCATGAAAATAACTTTTATATTAAGTGTATGATTCAATGCAACAAAACGAACACATTTAAAAATAGAAGATAAAACTGGCCCCTGAGCTGTTGGCTTTGTGGCCCCCCTGATCAATTTATTTGAACAGTCCTGTATTAATGTCTCAAAATAAGCTGCTTTAAAGCCAGTATTTACCATGAACTACATCTCCTATAATGTATGTTGATTATTCATGGAAATTTACTGTTGGAGTGTGGGAGAGTGCAGAATTCAAGATTCACCACTACTGACCACAACAGTGACTAAAACTCTCTTACTTTTACTTTTAATAGTACTTCTTTTTTTATTTATTCCACATTTAGTCAGTCGTGCACGCAGTACTTTTGGTGTTCAAAAGAGGATGTGTTAAAACGCTGTTTCTGTGCAGGAAATACTATAAAGAGCTCAGTAATGGTTTGACAAACGATGGACTCATGGGTTAATCATAGTGTTTCTATTTTTGGCCTAAATATTTCAGTGGTTCTTCCAACTATTTCTGTATATCCTGTGGCTTCTCAGTCTGATGTGTTCCATATGAGGGCATCTGGACTTCTCTTCCTCACATTTGGACCTGATCAGTCTATCTTTTGCTATGTGTTTTAAAAAGACAGTCTGGCCAATTCTGAAGTGACGTTTTGTTAAAAAAAAAAGGATCATTTAGTACCTTATGATCTGTTACACCAGTCATAGACTATGAAGACAAAAAGTCTTTGTCCAAGCTAGGCTAATAGCTAACCTAAAGAGGGACAGGTGTGTTTTAAAATAATTTTTTCAGGCTTAGACAAACACTTTCCTAAAAACTTACTGGTGTGAAAGAACTCTGCGTTAGCTAACCTCTTTACTGATGCATTCACAACCTCATGATCAGCATTAAACTGGTCCATCATCATCAGTTTTTAGCCAACTGCCATTTTATGGGTCTCTTCATATATTCGGATTTTTGTGTGATAGAAAAAAAAAAAGATTATTAATCTACTGGTAGTCGCGCTTCTTTCGCTTGGCTGATAACTGGAGGTCAACAGTCAGACAGTTCTGAGCTATGGAGTCTTGGCTTCAAAATAAATCAACTGCAGGATTACCCTGCCTGTTTCTGAGTTATGCTTTTGGGCCAATTCCATTTTAATGCAACTGGAAACTTAAAATTTGTAATATTTAAAACCTTGAAGAAAAAATCAAGAGAGCAACCTAAAGGTAGACATTCAATTCCTCATTTCACAAACAGCTTCTGCCGTCACATGAACCATGCAGCTCGATTTGCTGCAGAAGTCCAAGGCTGTTTCAAGAGAATGAATCGACTCACAGCTGATAATAAAGCATGTATGCATGTTCCTGCGTCTATAAGCACATGCTGCTTTAGTTTGTTGTTGTCTTACCTGTTTCTATCTGTTGCAGGTTGTTGCTGCTGAGGTTGAGCAGCTTGAGGTCTTTGGACAGCAGGAACTGTTTGGGCCTGAGATGTTTGATGCTGTTGTTGGACAGATTTATCTTCACTATTTCCGGGGGCAGTTCAGGTGGGACGTGATACAGATCTGGGAGACAGGAAGCAAATATCGTTAGCCTTTTAGCTCCATCCAAGTATAAAAAAAACATGCAAGGTACAGAAAGATTCTGAGTATTCGCAACCATGTCAGCGAGGTATTTACAGAAATATTACCAAAACAATGCAATCACGTCTTTTTTGTGGAGAGATTTACGGCTCTGGGGCAGATGTGCAAAACCCAGGAGAGCTGCACAGAGACTGAAAAGTGAATCAGCGTGAGTCGGAAATTCAGTCTGTCCGCATCTTATATGTTTTCAAGATGTTTTGTGGGCTGTGTGCAAGCCTTTAAATTTTCAAAATGGAGCAAAGGAGGACAGCGATTTCGGCAACGTTTGACTTATGTGCCATAAAACGTGTTTTTTGCTATATTCTCATAATGKTGCACGCTCCTCGCTAATTTTTAACACTTGAAACGCCACATGTTGGTTAAAGCTACAAATGTAGATCCAGATTACAAACACAAAAAAAGTTCAAACATCTCAAAAATGTGGCTTTTTTTTTTTTTTTTGGAAACTAAAGACGGGTTCTGAGTGAGTTTAGTGGTTTCTCCAATTATTGACATCGTTTCACCTGTTAGGAAGGGCTACATTAGGAGCGTCAAACCTGCTGCTCACATATTCTAAAGCAGCCATGCTCAGAGAAGGTGGCCTGTGCAGATGAGAGGAAATGTAAGCATGTTTAAACTCTGCTCCAAACAGTTTTTTTTAAGATCCGATCAAATCCAGCTTATTGCGCATGATGGATCAATTTCCAAAGTTTCCTGTGTGTTTTTGTTTGCACAGACCACAAAATGTTGTTGTAAGGAGCTTTTTTTATGGAGCAGATGTCGTCTTTGTCTACCTGCTTTATTGCCCCAGATGTTGCAGTCGCCATAAATCCACTGCGAGAACATAATCGAACACACACTCGGAACGCCGRAAATGTCCCGGTTCCTTTTGTCTGTGATGCTGACGAATGTGCAGCAGGCCGGGAACACACAGCACAAAAGGGGAGAAGGGCCAGACTTTGACTCTTCGGGTTTTATGTTGGGGAGCGACCCGCCCCTCATGGCGAGGACCCGTCCTCTGAGAGGTCCAAAGTGCACATGTGTTTGCAGCTTTTGTCTGAGATCTGCTTTTAAAGAATATATTTTTAAAAAAAAAAGCTGGCACAACAAGCTGAAACTCATATTCCCAGGCTCTTTTTGACAGAGCTCCACCTTTGGAGCCAAAAGCAACATTTTTTTTTCTGTCCATCTGTGGTCCTCTGTTACAGTGAACAAATCCTCGACATGGTGTACTGGAAGACTTGGGGGTCTCTTCCAGGATAAAAAGCTTAAGAAAAAAAGCTTTCATCTTCCACGTAATCAGTTGCTGCTACTTTTACTTTTTGGACATAAAGAAAGGATATCTAATGATCTCCAGATAAAATGCTAAGCTTATTACTGCTTCAACATCTGTGGAAAGACTTTGAACAATGTGACAGCTGAATGAATGTGGGAGAGAGAAAACTGCTGAATCTGCTGGAGTCATTATTTTAAAGAACACAAAACCAAAAAAAAGCCTCTAACCTTTTGTGAAAATCTCGATGATGTCACATTTATGAGTTGTAGCAGCAGTTTGTAGGTTCACTACATAAACATAGTGTTGTAAATGAAGCACTTTTAAAACAGACAGCTGGACCAAAGCTGCATGATTTAAGAGTAAGGCAGACGATTTTTCTGATCGATGCACGGTCAACTTTAATGTTTCAACTTAAAGGCACAGTGTGTAGGATTTGTTGTTTTCAGCGACATCTAGTGGTTGAGTGGCTGAATCATCCTCCCTGGTCCTCCCCCCACCCCCCGCTTCCAAA